CCTGTCCATCACCAACTCCTGGAGTTTACTCAAACTCATGTCCACTGAGTCGGTGATGCCATCCAACCATCACTGATATTTTCTAACATTCTTATTTGTTTCTAGTTCTGAAGGAATCCTTATAGTCTTACAAGTCCTGGTTGGCTAACCTTGCCCTAAACTTAACCTTGACACAGCCCCATCCACTGGCAATTCTTATAGTATACAAATCAGAATGTGGATATTTTTATGCAAACTTATTTCCACTAGTAGGCAAAGAACTCAGATATGATTTGCATATAGTAGGTCGTAAGCAGCATTTCTGGGTACAAAGGACAGTAGGCAGAACCTCTGGCTCTACCTTCAAAATATACCTGCAATCTGACCCCTTTAACCACTTCCGCTGGAACCAGACTGGCCCAGGCTAGCATTAGCTGTCACCAGGCTTACCGCAGTGGTCTTCTAACTGGCCTCCCACTTCCATTTTTGCCCTGATGTGTCTTCTCTTAACACAGCAGCCTGAGTGGTTTGTTAAAACTTAAATCAGATGGTGACCCTCCTCTGCTCCAAACATTTGTATCGGGTGACATCCAGTCAGGAAACCAGAAACCACTCCAGATATCTCAAAGACAGGGAATACATATTATAAGAAATTGATGACAAAGATGAGTTCTGAGGGAAGCCACTATCACCCTTAGGCTAGAGGAACAAGGAAATATGGTATGACATGGAGCCTGCAGTCAGAGACACTGAAGGGACCAGGCTGGAAGGACCTGCCTGAGCCAGCATTGCCAGCTGCCATGTTAGAATGGCTGCCAGGATGCTCAGCCAGAAAAACAAGGAAGGCTCTTCTTGTCTCCCTTCTTCAGTCCTGCCAGCACTTTCCAGGGCAAAGCCTAAGTGGATGCCAGCGGGCAAGGAACTCTGGAAAGTGTTGTCTGCAGGTCTCCTGCCCCAGCAGTAAGAGGAGGGAACTGAAGAGAGGTTGAGGGGCTTCAGAAAACAGCCCCCATTCAGAGTGGTACCTCTTTCACAGTAACACCCGGGTTCTTAAATGGTTTCGAAGGAAGGCGCCCCCTGGTCTTAACACACTTAAGGGGCTAAGAGTCCCTCCCAACTCCCAACTCTCTCCACTGTTTTCTTTTTCATCAAAGCATTTATCCTTCTCTAACGCATTATACATCATATACATACATATTTTTATCAGGTAAATAAAGATCTTTTTATTCTATATCGTATTTCAGTTCAGTCAGTACAGTCGCTGTCATGTCCAACTCTTTGTGACCCCATGGACTGCAGCATGCCAGGCCTCCCTGTCCATCACCAACTTCCAGAGCCTACCCAAACTCATGTCCATTGAGTCAGTGATGCCATCCAACCATCTCATCCTCTATTATCCCCTTCTGCTCCCACCCTCAATGTTTCCCAGCATCAGGGTCTTTTCAAATGAGTCAGTTCACATCAGGTAGCCAAAATAATGGAGTTTCAGCTTCAGCATCAGTCCTTCCAATGAATATTCAGGACTGATTTCCTTTAAGATGGACTGGTTGGATCTCCTTGCAGTCCAAGGGACTCTCAAGAGTCTTCTCCAACACCACAGTTCAAAAGCATCAATTCTTCAGCACTCAGCTTTCTTTATAGTCCAACTCTCACATCCATACATGACTACTGGAAAAACCATAGC